GACGACGACGACGACCTTCCAGGTCTGCAGTAGTAGCAGTAGTAGCCGTAGCAGTAGCAGTAGCAGTAGCAGTAGTAGTAGTAGTAGTAGTAGTAGTAGTAGTAGTCGTGGTGGTGGTGGTGGTGGTGGTGGTTGAGTAGTAGTAGTGGTGGTGGTGGTGGTGGTGGTAGTAGTAGTAGTAGTAGCAATAGCAATAGCAGCTAGTGGTGGTGGTGGTGGTGGTGGTGGTGGTGGTGGTGGCGGCGGTGGTGGTGGTGGTGCTGCTGCTGGTGATGGTGGTGGTGGTGGTGGTGTAGCAGTAGTCGTAGTAGCAGAAGTAGGATTCGTGCAGCAGGAGCAACACCTCCCAAGAACCAGAATTTCCGCGAATAAACGTTCGTTCCTTCCGACCCCAGGTAGTTGTTTTGGCGCTCAAGGAAGGGTTGCAGGCATGCGGTCGTGTTGAGGGCCATCCGCCGAACTGGTACAACAAATACTTTGTCGCTCCCGCCTTGCCAAGAGGCTTGAGGAACATTGCATGAACTACATGTGCAAGATATGTTGTGTGCTAGAGCTGACTTTGCAAGGTTGCCAGAGCTTTTCAAGGACAAGTATGACGAGCTTGTTGTGGGTGTGCATGGAGGGGAATACATCGGGGCAGGATCCGCCTAGGCATCGAGAAGGTGAGAGCAAAGATTAAGACAGAAGAGACGATTGAAACCCCTCGTGCCACTGATGCCAACACGTCTGTTGTGGTCCATGTCAAACTTTCCAGTATCACTTGGAACTTCGTGGTTCTCATGTGAGGGCAAACACAGACAAATGCGAAGGACTCCGGTTTGGGCTCATCTTCGCATCGCCAGCATTGTGCCGAGTATGCGGGCATGTCTGGTCAATCTAGCCCAGTACTTCTTGTGGTTGCTGTGTTACTGTATCTGTAAAGCCGTGAACGTTTCTTGCCTGCCCCGATTTTTGTTGCTTTTCCATTTCCGTCGCATCTGATTCGTCTTGCTTCGCGCCGATGCACGCAAAGAATTCCAGATGCGGCAAGGGCAATTTCTGACTTGTTGCGTCTGTATTGAACTTTCGTGCCGACGTGACCACGACCCCATGCGATGTTTCCCCCGCGGCGCCGCTCACAAGCTCTACTTTGATAGGCTAGCGCATGTCAAAAGCACAGACCCCAACAAATGCATGCAAACACACACAGATGTATGTGTATGTGTATGTGTGTATACATGTGTATATCAATTCATGAAAGAATATACCTATATATATATATATATATATATATGATGTGTATACATATGTGCATAGATGTGCATGTGTACCCGCATACATACATACATACATACATACATACATACATACATACATACATACATACATACATGTACACACGCATATATATATATATATATATATACATATATATATATACATAGATACTCATCTGTATATATATATATATATGTACGATACATATATATATATATACAGGGACATATGTACATCGATATATGGGCACATATGTATAAATGTACATACTATGTACATCTGTACATTGAGATACATATGTGTGTGTATATTTCGGTGTATGTATGTATATATATATGTATGTATACATGCATATATATATATATATACACACATAAGCGCACGGACCGTGCTGCCTCAGTGGGCTCCCCTCCACCCGTCACCCCGACTCCATGTTGTGTGCCGTGGCCGGGCTACCGGAGGCAGGCGAGGAGGGACTGGGGGAATTGGCTATGGGGACTACTCTTCTATATACGGGACCTCAAGCGACTATCATAGGGATCCATTCCTCCATTGCCGACCAAGCACCAGACAGAGAATTTGGGTCTCGGCCCGTGCCACCAGCAAAAACAAAAAGAGAACTGAGGGATCTGTGGATTGGGCCCGGGATTCTCGCAACAGCCGTCGCTTTTGGATCTTGCTATCTCGGCGAATAGTCAACATGCCAACAGGCGCAGTCGTGATTTCAGCACATCATAGGGACGAGAGGGACCATCCGAACTAAAGGGACGAGGGAGAAGGCCGAAGCCACACATGCCTGCACAATGAAAAGTGCGAAGCTGATCAGTTTGCAAGAGTATGTATGGTTTATCCTTGACGGCAGCGTGAGAATGCAGGTTCCGGTAGATGAGGACTCAGAAACCGGTCTGCGGGATGCTGCTTCTGGTGCCTGCAAGCACCGGCACTGCATGAAGAAAGAACTAAGGAGATTGCGTTCGGGCCCTGTGATCCCGAGTTTGGATCTTGGGGAGATCGATTCATCCAGCTTGGCGACTGGCGACTGGCCGCCATGGACGACAATCACTTCAGCATCTCCCACAAGAATAGCAACACTGCTGCCGAGATCTTTAGGGGGAATGACGGCACTGTACATCATTGCCCTCATTGCGGTTGGGGGGCCTGGGAAAAGCCTCTTGGGTATCCCTCCGGCATCGTCTTCGGCGACCGCTTCATTCAGTTTGGAAACTGGCGTTTGGCGGCCTTCGACGACAAGCATCTTCTCAGCATCTCTCACAGACACGGCAAGACAGCCAAGTACTTCACGCTTTTCGGCCACGACTTTGGGGGTAAAAACGGACCGACCGCGGACTTCAATGCTTGGCACAGGAGCGTCGGACCTCCTTCAGGCATCACCTTCGGCGATCGATTCCTACAGATCGGCTTTTTCCGCATTGGAGATGCTGATGGAACCAATCTAGCCATTACTTTTTGGCCTTGGGGAAACTCTGTCTTCCGCTATGGATCATGGGGCTATGCGGGCACATCAGGCAAAAACTCGTACCTAGCCCTGATTAGTGAGGTTTTCGTACGAACCGAACCAGCAGTGCCCTCAGTGTGCCCTCAGATCAGCTCTAGGTTTGGGCCTGCCGTCAATGCTCGCTATCCGCATTGGCATTGCGGCAGCATACAGGGAGTCATGGGCACCTGCACCGGCATCGTCACAGGCCGCTTGCTTCAGTCTATTGGCTTCCCTCGATCCCTCCCCTCCCCTCCCTCCAAAGTCACAGTGATACGTACTCCTACTGGTAGTGGGATTACTGCCCTTATGACGACTTCTGATAGCTCTTTTCATCCACTCCCCTCCTGAATCCTGAACCACAGCAATGGAAACTAAGTAACTATGTCTGAACTCCAAAGCTTCAGCCCTATTGCCCTATTACATAAGCCCTGGAAAGCAACGCGGAATCTCGTTCAGCCCCAATAAAGTCCTGCGACGAACGAGTGATGATTCTATCCAAACAGGTTTTGATTTCGAAAGAAAGGGAGACTCAGGTTTGGGGTGCGGTTTCGGGTCTTTCGAGTGCCCGTCGAATGCCCGCTGGCCCGTTTATCGTGCGCTGGTGTTCGTTTAAGATCTTTCTGGACTCTGTCTTTCTCCCTCCCTGATCGCTTGTTCATCGTGCTCCCGCTGCAGGCCCATGCTCAAATCAGTTTTCTAATCTTTCCAAGTCTTCGTAACGGCCTTTGGCGTGTTGATCCTGGACCCTAAGCCGCCATCAAGTTGTATCTTCTGTACCGACTGCAACCCCTGAATGCTAGGATCGACCACCACACTTCATTGGACTTCCTCCCTCAACCGAGAAGCCATGAAATTGAAAGGGAGTCGCCGTCAGATTTCGTGAATCCCAGGTCCGGACTTTCTTCAAATCGGGGACTGGAGGCTTGCTGCAGAGAACTTCAACACCTTCACCGTGGCGCACATCGGTGGACAGGTCCGCCGTGTTTTCTTCGAGTCACTTCTTCGTAGCCTGGAACCTCGAACACTCCGCAAAATTATTAGCAGCTTTTGCTCACAGCGCCTGTAGCAACCTGTGGAACAACAGCATTTCGACTGTACTTGTTTTTCGCGGTTGGTTTACTTTTTCACATGGGGCATGCAAGAGATTACTTCGGCACGGACATCCTTCGGATCAGCTACTCCAGCCGGCCGTCTTTCAAACAAAATCAGCAAGCAGTATGCAATCAAGCCATGGTTTTTTGGCGTGTTCTCAGCATCCCCACGAGCCAGTCTCGACTGTGACTCTGTGACCTGCAATCCCTTTTTTGTCTCGACTGTGTGACCTGCAGTCCCTTTTTTGCGGGGACTTTCGGGTGGATTTCTGCGATGTATCCTGGTATGTCTGATCAATTTCGATTTCGGCTCCTTAATCCCACACGTATCCAATCGGTGAACTTGATGCGTCAGCGAGTCAACTGAGCTTTAAGCACACACACACACACACAGAGGCACGCAGAAGCACACATGCACCCGACAGTTGCATTCATGACATGTTTGACATGTTGAAGATCCCGCCACCCGAAGAACGCACCCCGAGCTTGGAACCTCAATTCCCAAGAGTCAAACCGTAATTGAGATGCAGACTCCGCGCATCAAAACCTAAAAAAGCCACTTACACTCAATGCTTAGTCAGCGAATGCCGCTTCAGAAGACAGGCTGGAGTGAGCTTTGCTGCGCCGAGTCTGCTTCAAACCAACATGTCTGCGGCGGCGCCTTGGCTCCAGAGCTTACGCGAACAGAGTCGCTGTCTTTGATGGGCCTTCTACCTACTATAAGCGATGAAAGTTAACAGTCGGATTTAATGTGAACGGGGTATAGCAAGGTCAAGTTTCTGGGAGGTAGCATATGTTCGAATTCTAAAGCCTGTCCTTTCGAAATGGCCGGGACGCTCGATTGGCGGAACCCCAAACCCAAAGTTGTGAAGGGCCCAGGAGGCGAAAGTCGAAACAAGGTCAACTCGGGAACCCCAAAACCACGGTTTAGGGTTTAGGGTTTAGGGTTTAGGGTTTAGGGTTCAAAGCAACTCTCGCGAGCAGTGACACGAGCGTTTGTAGCGTTATATCTTGGTGCCATTCGAAGAGGACCTCCCGGCGGTCCTCCTCAGACGCAGGACAGAAGTCACCCCGTCCCGATCCCCGCGCCGCACCTTGTATCGCGACTCCCATTAGTGGAACCCCGCCCGCATGCCACGCCGCACCCCGTATCGATACCACATGATACCACTGCCCGATTCTCCCGATAGAGCGCTGCAACACGTTGCAGTTCACTCTCCCGGATGGAAACCTGCCCCAACCCGTGCCGCAGACCGTATCGCAACTCCCATCGGAAGAAACCCACCCGCATCGAACCCTGCCCCGGCCAGAATCCCGCGCCGCACCGCATATATTGCGACATTTATCGGTGGAATCCCCCGGCACTGCGCCGCCCCCGTATCGCGACCCATATCGTTGCAACGCCGCGCCGCACCCCACATCGCGACCCGAAACCCCGCACCCCGTAGCCCGGGACGCCGAAAAATCTCAATGCTCTATCTAATATATATATATATATAT